AGACGTCACCATATACCGGTGAAGGGCTTTAAATTTTGACCTTTACTCGGCACTCGGGGCCATTGAGCAGTGAGGGATCTTTATCGTGCCAACGCCTGCCGTGACACGGGGCCTCGGTTTTTAAGGTCTCATCCGAAGGACCCGCAACTTTCACTTCAAAGTGCCGAGCGCATGGCGAAGGAACAGTTGCTACCCATTTTTTATCGACTTTGGTCAGTCGCGGCCGAGATTCGAACTCACGACCTCCCGATCAGGGAGCGAGCGTGGACATCTAGAAGGCAAATACATGTATTGCATGATTATAAGGAATAGCCTACCTCTGCCAAGATATTTAACTCAAGTCCCCGGCATTGAGGCCCTAATGTTGGGTTGCATTTGGAAATCATATTTATTCATGGATATTTAGCAAGCAAACTTTATGGTTGAAGAAAGTTATTTTCCCTTTATCAAATTTGTTAAATGTCTGTCCTAAAACTTAGACTCCGGGGTGAGGCTTACAAGTACATGTAGTTGAATACTTTATTTTTAGAAATCGTTTCTACTAATCAACTAAGAACAATCTTCATGAATTAAGATGGTGAACATAAGAGTCCTCACTAAATTTTAATATTCAAGCGTTCCAGTTACAGGCGGGGCTTCAGTTAGTTTTCAGATCAAAAGAAACTCTTAGTACTTAGGTGACCATTAAGATCCGAAGCCTCATGTACTTCATTTAATTTACATGCAAGGCAATCATTCTCGTTTGTACATATGTATGAGCGATATGTATGATGTAAGATGTAAAGACGATATCATATTGGTTATTCATGTCTCTCAAAAATCGATTAATTAAATTTTAATCGAAAGTCCAGTACTAGCTAGTATTCTGTATTTGATTACTAGTATCATTGTTCAATCGATGTCTGTTTTCTATATTTCAATTAGACAGCTTGAGATACGGTATACTCTCACCGTTGTATTTAACTAACAATATAATAATACATGTACAAACAATTATACATGGAATCAACTATTGAATGACTACTATGATGTTAAATTTCTTTCTTTTACCCATCACCCTAATAAATATTTACAATTTTTTCCACCATTTATTGGACATTATTGAAAAACTTTGAATGAAAAATGAGACTTTATTAGGCTATATTTTTTACTTTAATTATGTAAGCATACATAAAGTAGTTATTTTCATGATTTGTATTTAAGAAATTGTTTGTATCATCAGTCCTTAAGAATAATATACCACGCCACAAGTATTTTCTGGTACATGTAAATAACAGCGACAAACAGCTTGGTCGCTTAATATTATCAGATTGCTTGTCGTGGGACGTCACACGTTTTCGATGATAAATACATGCATTCATTGCATTTTGTTTACCATAATGCATGATATTCCGATGCTAGGATCAAGTTATTGCTTTTTTTTTCTCGAGATAAAGTATTTTTAACTTGCATCAATATTATACAGAGTCAGAAAATTAGCAAAATTGTTTACCATGTAAAGAACAAAGATCATCCGAGATTGGTTATGAGGATGTATCATAACAGGCAAGTTTGTGGTACTATTATGTTCTCTGAGGTATGTTTGTTACTCCAGATACTAATTATAACGTAGTTGTTTCTTTTTTTTTTTTTTGAGAAGTCTATTTTAGATATCCAATTATATGGCATATCTCAAAATTGCAAAGAAAATTGGGGGGGGGGGGGGGTCAGTGTGGTTCTTTCTTAGCAAATGGTACAAATAATTTGATCTTTTTGCATTTTAATTGTTACTTTTAGATTAAACACTTTTACCTCTATCATATTTAACTAGATGTTATCATAACAATATAACCTTATATAATTTTATGCAAAATAGTTGGAAAAATATATAAATTTAAAAATGATATAAATTAATGCAAATTAATTATTGTATGGCCTTTTTGCAGTAATAAAACATCATATTCCGGGTATTAAAAATCGAAGTAGGAAATTAAATATTTTCTTTTATCATACTTTTTGCGAACTCAGTGGTGATCGGTGGAAAGTAACGTGCAATTTCAAAAATAAATAAATTAAAAAAAAAAGATGGGCTCAGTGATGTAAACTTTGAGATATGGTTCAAATTTGCAAATTTCAGGCTAAAAACAATGTTAATATTAAATATCTTGACTTGTTCAATATATCTGTATTTTTTGGCAAAGTATGTTAAATAAATGTGTAATTTTTAAAATTCAAAATATCACTTGAAACCCACATTGAATATTCCTAGCATATTATAACGTAAAAAATTCAATGTGTAAAAATATGTACACTGAATAAAACAAAGGTGTAGGAACATTGTGGTCTTTTTCCGTTTACTACTCCCATATTTATGACTGATTTTTTTCATTTTTCATTGAAAAGGGCAATTTAAAAAATGTAATTTCGTTGAGTTTAAATTTTTTTTATACACATTAATTTATTACACTATAATTTATTAAGCTATAATTGTTATGGATTATTAAGGAATTCGTTTCTCAAAGTTGAGGACGCTGTAGGCTTTTTTCATTTATTAGATCTTGCCAGAGTTCCTCATTCACAATATCTATGTACCCTTTAGAGATCGGGTCTTCAAACAATGTTAGAATTTTTATGGGTACTAATTCTGCTCCTTAATTAGCCGAAATTTCTTGTATTCCTATGAAGAATTTATTCAAGACCTTCTACACAAGTAGGAGAAAACGTAAGCTGGTGTTACAGGGATTTTACCAGCCCTGTTTAGAGTCAGCTTTTCGCAAATTCAAAATTTTGTTTCAACTTAAAATTTATAATCACTTTGTTTGTAAATACAGCCTACAGTTGAGTCTTATTTTGTCTGACAGCAGAGCCCCTGAGGCCATGAAATTAACAATTTTGGAAGAGGCACTCTTGCTCATCATAACTATGTACTTGGTTACTTTATTTGATACCCAGGAGCAGAAAAGAAGATTTTCAAAGAATTAATGCATTTTCACTATATAATCAATAGAGCCCCGCCCTAACACCAGAACCCCTGACCCTGAGGCCATGAAATTCACAATTTTGAAAGAGGCACTCTTGCTGATCATGACTATGTACTTAGTTACTTTATTTAATACCTAGGAGCAGAGAAGAAGATTTTCAAAGAATTAATGCATTTTCACTATATAATCAATAGAGCCCCGCCCTAACACCAGAACCCCTGACCCTGAGGCCATGAAATTCACAATTTTGGTAGAGGGATCAATGTTTATTACAATGATGCCAACAGTTTGACTGCTTGATGTCCAGGAGTAAAGAAGAAGATTTTTAAAAATTGCATTATTTTTGGTGGTTTTAGCCCCACCCCTCAGGCCCGGGGGGGGGGCAGGGACCATGAAATTCACAATTTTTGTTTCCCTTTACCCATAGATGCTAAATGCCAAATTTGGTTGAAATTGGTTGGGCGGATTCAGAGAAGAAGCTAAAAATGTTCAAATGTTAACGCACGCCGACGGTCGAAAACGGATAGCAATAGGTCACCTGAGTGACTTGGGTGACCTAAAAATATAAGGTATGAAACTCATTTCACAGAGTACCCACTTTCGCCAATAAAATACATGTACTTTTAAACCAAATGATTTAAAATTTTACCTTCTATTCATAAACAACCTAACCGGTCACAGTAGCCTAGTGTAGGGCGCTCGCTTCGTGATCGGGAGGCCGGGGTTCGATTCTCGTTCGCCGCGCCGCGTCAAACCTAAGACGTAAACATAGGTAGTGACTGTTCCTTCGCCAAGCGCCCGGCACTAGAAGTGAAAGTCACGGGTTTTTTGGATGAGACCTTAAAAACCGAGTTCCAATGTCACGGTAGGCGTTGGCACGATAAGGAACCCTCACTGCTCAATGGCCCTGAGTGCCGAGTATTGATCTAAATTTGAAGCCCTTCATCGGCATATGGTGACGTCTCTATATGAGTGAAAAATTCTCGAACTGGACGTTAAACAACATACAATCAATCAATCATATAAACAACCTACATTACTACCAAAGTTCATTCCGAAATTCCGTATACTTCCCAAGATGTGCTAAACTTAATTCCAAGTTGACCTTATTTTTTCACTCGATATTAGATTGGGCCTCTGAATATTTACACTTATTGTAAAATGGGAATGACGGGATAAATTTTTGCCGGAATTTGTTCTATACCCACTGAATTTTGCTTTTTAGCACTCAATATCTACAAAACCAGACACTTCTTAGATCAGATGGAATGGCAGCTGAATCAGCAAATGTTCCGCAGAATTGTACAGATCCTATTTCATCCTCAGGTCGACCTATTTGCCAGTCGTTTGAATTATCAGCTCCCGAAGTATGTACATGTAACATGGCAACCAGATCCAATGGCATGGAAGACAGATGCATTCTCAATTCCATGGAAGAATCTCAAAGCTTATGCTTTCCCTCCATTCAACTTGATATCACAAGTCCTTCAGAAAGCGAGACGAGACAATCCCCTCATGATCTTGGTATCCCCAAGTTCTCCAGTTATCTTGCAACAACACAATTCTTCTACCAGGAAAAGAAAAAATGTTAATCCTACCCTACGACGAAGACCACGTCCACCCACTCCAGAAATCTTTACAGCTAATCGCATGGACTGTATGCGGAGACAGTACCATGCAAGAGGTTTTTCAACAAAATCATCAGAAATTCTCAGCAATGCGTGCAAAACGAAAACCACCAAACAGTACCAATCCTCATGGAAACTATGGTTGGGCTGGTGTAGCGGCAGGAATTTGGATCCCTTTTCAGTTTCTGTCATAGACATTATAGAGTTTTTAATCAAGTGAATTTCAGAAGAACAAGTCTTACAGTGCATTAAACAGTTACCATTCCATATTGTCAGGAACTGTTAGTCCAACTGATGGTTTTGCCGTTTGGAAACATCCAACAGTTATTCAGTTTTGAAAGGTGTTATATAATTTGAATCCAACTAAACCTAAGTACTGTACAGTTTGGGATGTTTCAGTTCTTCTGAAATACATTAAATCATTACATGTACCATATAATACCAATTTACTACTGAAAGATTTAACCCACAAACTTGTTATATTAGTAGCTTTAGTTTCAGCAGATAGGGGACAATCAATTGCATTATTGGATATAAAATTAATGTATATACTTTCTTCGAAAGTGGTGTTTTTCATTGATAAACTTACTAAAACTTCCAAGCCCGATAAACCTATGAAGAAAATAGTTCTTTCTGCTTATCCCAAGTGTGAGAAATTGTGTGTGAAATCCACGTTACAAGCATATATTGAGAAAACTAAGGACTTGAAAAAGTGCTCAACTTTGACTCTTTACACAAACCACATAGAGCAGTGACATCTCGTACTACTAGTATAGCTAGATGGATTAAACATGTTTTAACAAGTGCTGGTGTGCAGGGCTTTGGTGCACACTCAACTCGGAGTCCATCAACATCAGCTGCTTTGGAAGCTGGTTTATCTGTGAAGGATATCATGAATGTGGCAGAATGGTCAAATTCATCGACTTTCAACAAGTTTTATAAAAGAAGCATACTGTGGAATCATTTAAATTCGTGGGGGTCAATGTTCGTGGGCAAGCAAAATTTTATTGGTTCGTGGGGATGTAATTTCGTGGGTAGCTCGTTTATTTGGTAGATCTAATTAATTAGTACGTTGACAAAATTGTTGTTCGTGGGGATGTAAATTCGTGGGTAATGGTTACTCATGAAATCCACGAACATTGATCCCCCACGAATAATGATGATTTCACAGTAGACGATGGTTCCTTTGGAAAGTTGGTTTTGCAGACAAATTCTAAATAGGTAAGATGTTGAATTTTTACATCTGAAATCTATTTAGCCATGAGTGTACATAAGAGGACGAAGGATAATTTTGAATTAGACAAGGGTAAGGTACTTACCTGTAGGATAATTGGGATTATCTGAGTCCTCGACGTACATTCAGAGCTAAATCCCTCCCTACCCAGCCCTATTTACATGTTGTAACTGGGGTCTTCTTTGCTCACACTGTATCAACTATGATGGGTAGTGTTGGGAAAACTTTTATTGTTTCTGTCAATTAGTATTATGAGAATTATGTATCTTAGTGTAGTCTACTTGTGTGCCAAGTTATACTAAAATCAGACCAAAACTGTGGTAGGAGTAGCATTTTGAAAGTATTTCAAGGAAATTTCTATTTTTAGTAACCATGGCAACACCGTTCATCAAAATCAAAAACCTAGAATTGTGTATCTTAGTGTAGTCTACTTGTGTGCTAAGTAATACTGAAATCGGATCAAAACTGTAGGAGGAGTAGCGTTTTGACAGTATTTCCCAGAAATCTCTATTTTTAGTAACCATGACAACACCGTTCATTGAAATCAAAAACCGATAAACAGAATTATGTATCTTATTATAGTCTAATTGTGTGCCAAGTTATAATGAAATCAGATAAAAAGTGTAGGAGAAGTAGCGTTTTGAAAGTTTTTCACAGAAATTTCTATTTTTAGTAACCATGGCAACACTGTTCATTGAAATCAAAATCCGATATACAGAATTATTTATCTTATTGTAGTCTACTTGTCTGCCAAGTTATATTGAAATCAGACCAAAACTGTAGGAGGAGTAGCGTTTTGAAAAATTGTTTACAGACGGACGGACAGACAGACGGACACCTTACTATCGCATAAGCTCTTCTGGTCTCTGACCAGTAGAGCTAAAAATCAGAAGTTGAATATGTTTGACATATTTTCAGTGCACATGGCGTAAAGCCCAGTGGTTAAAAAATCAAACAGCAATTTTGGCAATTCCAGCACCAGACAACAAGAAGGAATTACAGTGATTCATGGGGATAATAAATTACTTAGGAAAGTTTATTCTAAATTTGTCCACCAGGAATCAACCACTCAGACAGTTGCTGGAAACCGATGAAGCATGGCACTGGAATGATGAGCAGGAAAAAAGCCTTTAATGATCTGAAGAGAGCAATAAAGTCAACGCCTACATTAAAATATTTCGACGTTAATGAGGATGTCAAACTTTCAGTTCATGCATCGTCATATGGATTTCGTGCTTGCATCATGCAGAAAGAGCAACCTGTGGCTTATGCATCGAGAGCCTTGAATGTAGCTGAGAGAAACTATGCATAGATAGAAAAAGAGATGTTTGGAATCATGTACGGACTACAGAAATTCAATCAGTATGTGTATGGTAAAACAGTTTCAGTGGAAACAGACCACAAACCCATTAGAGAGCCTGTTTAAAAAACCATTGACTAGTGCACCTCCACGACTTCAACGTATGATGTTGAAAGTTTTGCAGCATGACTTAGTTGTGAAATACAAAGCTGACAAGGAAACTCTACATTGCTGATACATTATCAAGATCAACAGGATCAGATCCAGCTGCTGAACTTGAAGAGCAGTTTGGAGTTCATTTGATACAGACTATTCCTGTAAGTCAGGAAAAGGGGAAGCTATTTCAGAGTGAAACCAAAAAAGACCCTGTTCTCATGAAATTGAAGGACACAGTTCTACAAGGATGGCCAACAAACCGGAAGGATTTAGATAGTGAACTTACTCCATACTGGAACTTTAGAGATGAGATAAGCATTGTAGATGGCTTATTGTTGAAAGGAGATCGTATCATTACACCAGATCTCCATCTTGATTCTGAATAATACTACATAGTCTACTCGTGTGCCAAGTTATATTGAAATTAGACCAAAACTTCGTCGGAGTAGTGTTTTGAAAAATTGTTTAGACAGACAGACGAACGGACGACGGACAACTTACTATCGCATAAGCTCCAGTAGAACTAAAAAATCAGAAAGTATGTAATGCATTCCAGGAAAATTCAGTTCAATCATAACTCTTTTCACATCTGTAAACGAAATGGCTGTGCAGTTGTTGAAGCAGGCGTTTTCTTATTATTCATTCGCGAAAGGGATTATTACGGACATAACCCTGGAGTAAAAAATTCAACTTTAAAATGTTGAAAGTATTGAAACTATATGTCCCTGGCATATTTATGACGTGACATAAATATAGTCTTATCTCATTCTTGACATTACTTTGACACATCAATGGTGGCTTAAAACCATACAGAGTTGCAATTATATAAAAAGTTGCAAACAAGTTATGTGAATCACAGTATGTTGTTCTTTAACGTCCCTCTTGGAGAATTTTTCACTCGTATGGAAAAGTTATGAAATGTGGAAATAACGCATCGTAATCATTATAGCATTAAGTATATGTTTATTATGTACGGTGTTTGGTTAAATGTTGTTACCGGAAGTATTTTTAATATAACAAAATGTAAATATGAGAAATATATGTCTGGATTTTTTTTAGGGGGAGGGGGTATAAAACACTTTGGAATACACTCTCATGAACCCATAAAATGATACAGTTATTTCTAAAATATTGTAATATTTTAAATGGTATGTTGCATAAAATACAGGTAATCTAAGTTAATATATATCAGCAAGATGCAATGAAAGACAATTCCTATATATAGGATATTATTTTATGTCAACACTTGAATGTGGTGTTTTTACATGTGCATGTATGCATTGCTTTTGAACAATATATCGACATGTTAATGAAACTCAGCTGAGACTGTCTTTGTCAAATAATTTTTCATAATTTTGGCATTGGCTAAAAAAAATAATAATATTAAAGAATGCTGGTTTAGCAACCAATGGCATTGTGACGCCATAATCAGTTTGATCCATGTATATCGATGAAATGTATAAATATTACCACACAACATTAAGTTTGACATTAATCCAGAATGTCGATTTCAGCAAAAGTTTAAGAATGTTTTCCCTAAATAATAACATCGATTGATATTATTGATGTGCCTGCTTATGCTATGACATTGTGTTCAGTAGCAATAAGACGTGGTTATCAGCATGTAGTTTGTTGGATATTTGATCAAGCACTTTGCAGACTAACAAGCCATTTTTCGTGATAATAGAATCTTAATTATTTTCCTTAAAATTGTGATAGGATATTGACAAAGACGAACTCAAAACTGTTGTGGTCTTAAGCAGCTGTTCTGATCTTGACAAATGACATACCCATATATGTCTAGCATATCAGGATAGTGACGGTTAACATTTAACATATATATTGGGAAATGAAATTATTATCATATAATCTCATCACCAGAAAGTGGCTTGTTGTCAGTTAATGTTGAATGGCACAGACGAAATCCGAAGTATAACTTCCACAAACTGTACCAAAAATGTTAGATTTTAGATATTTAAGAATCATACATACTAGTGCACATAGATACAAACATACTGTAATAAACTATCCGTACTCTCACCATGTGGATAAAAGATTTTATAATAAAATGTCACTATATGCAATATATGTCAAATAATCTAAATGTAGCTGTTAATTAATCAGCTCATTGTCTATAGTACATTTCAAACGGGGTATTATGTTGATGTGGGTAGACAATATTGCGAGTAAAAATGCTCAGTATTTCTGTTACCTAGATGATAAAAATTAAATCGACTCCTCAAGTTCTGTGTTTATATTTTTTGTTTGATGAATTAATAAAGGATTGCTAGGTTTCTCTCTCCTTCCCATAATAAATTAAAATGGCAATTTCTTCAAACATATCAGATTGATAATTGTAATACTAGACAATCTGTTGCAGCACGCTTACGTATGTATCACGATTTAAACCTGTATTATTAATTCTTAAGGCGAAAGATAATAATATACATGTACTTGACTGAGTGTACTGTTGTCGTTTATAGACATGAGCGTATAGTTTCTGTGGGATGACAATTGAAGAAATAATTGAAATTTTTACAGTGGGAAATTTAGTATGTCATGCAGAACGAAGACCATAGTGTTCCTTGCATAATACGGCAGGATTCTACTCGATAAAAATGAAAAGTTAACTTATATTTACTTTTTTCATAAAACTCAGAAAAATATCGATTCTAGCAAATAATGCATTGGGGCTCCCACTTCATTGAAAAAATTGAGCATACCTTT